ATGTGAGCAATTTGCTTTTGATGTGAGCAATCTGTTTTTGATGTGAACAATTCGTTTTTGATGTGAGCAATTTGTTTTTGATGTGAGCAATTTGTTTTTGATGTGAGCAATTTGCTTTTGATGTGAGCAATCTGTTTTTGATGTGAACAATTCGTTTTTGATGTGAGCAATTTGTTTTTGATGTGAGCAATTTTTTTTTGATGTGACAGTTGTGGGCCACCGTACTTTCCTCTTGGCTTACTATGTATCTTAATCTCGGAAAGGGTGGATGCGAACTTACCGATATGCTAACAACCTTTAAAAATTGAAGTTTAAGGCAATTATTTTTAAGGTTTAAAATGGAAGTGTAAGTTCAAAGGTTTACATTCAGAGGGTTTTCTGTTCAGATTTAGGGGCTAATCATAGGATTTCGGTGACTGCTTATTTTTCATTGCTGATGGCTTGTATTTTACTTCGCAGGGACCCGAAATTGTAGGACAAAATGGGTAAACCACCTCAGCTCAGTGTCAAAATTCCAAAGGAGGGAGAGCTCTCAACAGACGGACTAGAGTTTAGTGAGAATTTCGTCATAGACTTCCTACTACTGACAGTTAAACCGTGCGAGTTTCTGAGTTGTTATCACTACCTACAAAAGCCTAAGCAATATTATGCTAAACGAACCGGCTATGTTTACGTTGGGAAAATGGGAGACGAAGGTGAACAGGAAAAGTTGACAGTCGGTCTGATGAAATGTAACATGGGCCCTGGTGGACCAGCGATGGCTGTGCAAAATGTAGTCACCACTTTGAAGCCTAAGGGTGTGTTCTGTGTGGGTTTTTGCGGGGGAATGAATGCCAAAAAAGCCAAGCTAGGAGACGTGGTGGTGTCAGCCAAGCTGATCTCGTATGCTTCACGTAAGGTTACAGAAGGTGGCATCGAACTACGTGGTACAAGTGTCCCCTTGGGTAAGAAGCTAAATGACCTCCTGAAAGATGCGGGCCATGGCTGGAAGCCACCACTAAAGAACATGGAAGAAGCAGAGCCGCAAGCGGTCAATGGCACGATGCTGAGCGGCCCCGAGCTAGTAAATTCCAAAAACGAACGTGATAGACAGCTGAAGGATTATCCTGACGCGATTGCAATTGAAATGGAAGGCGAAGGTAAGACATCATTAGAGTAACGTGTTTAATTAACCGAATGACTGCCGCACCCCTTGCTTGCACGTAAGTCCGGATCCGCCTGGCCCCAGTTGTTTAAAGGCTGGATAACGCTATCCACCGGATAAATCGCTAACCAGTGGATTAGTGTTAACAAAACAAACCACGTTATCCACTGGATAATGATTTATCCGGTAAATAGCTTTATCCACCTTTCGAACTACCCGGATCTGGGGCCCGTTTCTCGAAGGTCCCGAAAAGTTTTCGCACCCGGAAACCCATAGCAAAATCTCGAACCTTATGGCTACAGAGCTGTTAAATTCACATATTCTTAATATGAACAGAGGTTCTCTTCATACAAGAAGTTTCAGGCGTATACACCTCTCTGATTTTAGATACAGACTAGTTAAAAATGGCTTTACGGGCCCGAAAAGTTTCCGGGGCTTTCGAGAAACGGGCCCCTGGCCTAATTCAACTTCTCATTTTCCTTTAGGCACGCTCGGTTAATTATATTTCATTTAGTTTAAAAAGATTTCCCGTACTTTGAAATCTTGAGAAATCGATTCCGTATTTTTTTTTCTCTATGTTAGGGGTGTTTACGGCAGCTCATGATCTCGAAATAGAATGGGCCGTCGTAAAAGGTATATCAGATTATGCTGATGGAACCAAAGACTCAACCAAGGACTGGCAATCTTACGCGAGTGTGATGTCAGCGTCTTTAGTTGATCATGTGTTAAAGAAGCCCAGAATTTTTAAAGACTGGCCCCGCTATGGTGGAGATAGAAAGTATTCTAAGGGTTGATTTAATACTTAAACGAAGCTTATACGGCGTTTAGAAAGTTGAATGTAGTCTAAGCGGGTTGTAAATAGTATGTGCAATTGTTAGTATGTGTTGTGGTGGGTGGAGCTTGGGAAGGGAAGAAGGCCGCGTTACACCACAATACTGAGTGAAACGTGTTCTAAATAGAGTGTACTCGTAAAGCGCAATGTCTCGTAATGGTAAGATTTCAAGTCTTCGCATAGAGGAGGGTTGGTGTCTCATGTCATTAAACTATAAAGAGATACTATATATGAATGTCTTTAAGCGATCACCCCTAACAATGAGTTTGTATGTCGATGACTGAAGGCTTTTTTAATCTTTAACTCACAAAGACAAATTTGTTGGTTTTGACGGGTATTGTAAACTGGTGTTTCGTACGTTGGTCCTTTGTCGTGCCAAATGAAAACACCGTGATTAGCACGAGTGTGGGTTGATACATATCGTGGAGTATAGAGAAACGTTTCGCCATAGGAGAAAACTGACATGGCAACAGACTAGCTAGAAACACAAAACACATCACTGATAATTATACAACGCAGGTTGATGACAAAAGAAAGATTGCCCAGCTTAAGCATGCGGATTTTTTCATGGTAATTTGTCACAGAATATAATTGAAATTATCATTGGCGCTCTTTAGTTAGAGCGATGATTTGTTAATATATATCGACTTTTGTGTCAATATTCGCATTCGAAGTGAAGCAAACAAATTAAATTGATATAGTTCCCTATTTCCATTAAAAGGTTCTACAAAAAGAAGACGCGATTCCCAAGGTGAGTGTTTTTCTTTCATACCAGTTGCGTGTTCCAACCCTGAGCAAAGGAAATA